ATAATCTTGAATAAATGAAACAATTATCTTCTTCTTATTCTTAATAATTGAAATAGAAAGAAAATAAACCAAGTAACATGAATATTAAGAATAATGATGGAAGATTGTGGCACAATTTCATGGATGAGTTGACATTAACATTATTTGATACCGGCCAACTAAGTGGTCAAAAGATGAAGTGTTCGTCCGAAAGACCAAAGGTTCTTGGTTCGAATCTTACGAGGTAGGATCGTGGATGTGTATTGCCTAGGAGGAGTCCTATACTAGAACGAAACAGATGTTCAATACTTCCAGGTTTTCCACGTTGGTCTAGATTTAATTGATTCATTAATTGAATCATTAAATTACTATCATATGCACAAAAAACCCTTAGTTTGATTTCAATAAATTTCATCAAAGATATCAATTAGATCATAATAAAATTTATATTTCCCCTCTCTCTCTCACTCTATCAATCGATAGTCACTTAGGATCAAAGGCAATAAGATAAGAAATGTAACGATGTTTTTATTTTTATTTTTTCGTTCGAAAATCCTCGTCATATTAAAAGAGTGATCTATGGATGATGAATATTCTTTTCGATCAATTCTCTTCAGGTTCCACAAATCATATATCCAAATGAATAATCCCCCAAAAATGATCAGGTTAAGGATAAAGTATAGTAGATCGTGGTTGAAGGTAGTTAACAGGAAACCCTGGATCTGGGTTTCGTACTACTTGGCAGTCGTCACCACTATGTACCTGTAATCTTGAGGGAACTGGTGCTCCCTGGCGGATTCGATCCCGTGTCACCCAGCTTCACAGTCAGAGACGTTACTACTGGGCTATCCGGGCCTCGACCGATCTCCTTTAGGACTGATATGTAATTACAATTGATTGATCACTGGGTGGTGATCAATGCCATGTGTGTCAATTCCTTCTTAGTGCAGATCGAATGCTATCGACCAAGTTGCAGTGTGGCCACCAGTCTAAGCGACTCGAGATTACAGGTAGACCTTGCTGACAAGTGCCAAATAGCACGAAATTCGAGTCCAAGGTTTCCTGTTGACTACCCCAACCACCATCTAATCTCAACATAGTGTACGCAGTATCGAGTCACCTAGACTAGTGGCCACATTGCAACTTGATCGATAGCATTCGATGTACACTAAGAAAGACCTGACACATATGACATTGATCACCACCCAGTGATCAATCAATTGTGGTAAAGTATATTTTGTTTAAAGCAATACGAATTGTAAGATTGTCAAACAAAACGTTGGATTTACTTTAAACTTATTCGTTGAGAGGTCGTAAGTACAATAGTCAAATTAGGTCATTCAATAACTAAGATTACTATTGATTCATTGGCCTTGAGGTTGGCCAGGGGAGGAGGAGAATTGGTTGAAGATATTTATTCTGTATGCATAGCTTCTGTTTCTTCATATCCGAATGGCTGTTACCTACTTCAGCTGTTTGAAGGTCTTTTGTTCTGACAAGTTTTGGCAAAGAAAATTACTAACTCTATAAATATTAAAAAAAGATTAGTTTATACTGGCACTATGACCAGTTTATACTAAATGAGCCAATATCAAGTTGTTCACTTTCTTCATCAAACCTTTGTTTAGCCACGTTAAGAAGCTTGTTCAAGAGTATGAAAATGTAAATTCTGTTGTACATTTTCAAAGGAAACGCGAAGACGAATGCAACGTTATATCTCACAGAGAACCCAGAACTAGATTTGCTGGGTCTAGACCTAATAGGAACACTACAATTAGCAAATCACTCCACTAACCACATATGCAGTGCCGTGAGAACCAATAAACCAGTGGAAAAGGATCTGAAGGATGTTGTGTTGGAAAGACATTGTCGAGTGTTTACGGAAGAATTAGGGTAGCACAAAAAGGTCAAAGCACTACCGATTCTTAAACCGGGAGTCACCTCCGTCTTCAGACCAAAACGTCCGGCACTCTATGCAGCACTGCTTATTGCTGAACAAGAATTAGAGTGTCTGGAAAGAAGCGGAATAATAGAGCCAGTAAACTTTTCTGATTGGGCAGCACCAACAGTGATTGTCGAAAATCCAGATTATTCGACTGGATTAAACGAAGCACCTGAAGCCTATCAATACCCTTTCCCGATACCAGAAGATTTATTTGCGAAACTGAATGAGGGTAAGTATTTTGCAAAATTAGACCTGTCAGAAGCTTATCTACAGATTCCAGTAGCAGAAGAATGTAAGCATTACTTGACAATAAACACTCATAAAGGGTTGTTTCGATATGACAGACTTCCTTTTGGAGCAAAGACCGCCCCTTCAATCTTTCAACAAGTTATGGATACTATGTTACCAGGTATTCCTGGTACCGTGGCTTTTTTCAATGACATACTGACCATGGGTACTGACTATGCTGACTTGGAAAATAAGGTGGACACGGTTCTCAGACGCATAGCAGATTATAGGTTCAGATTGCGTGCTGAGAAATGTGATTTTTACATGGAGCAAGTCCGCTATTGGGGACTCATAATCGATAAAAACGGAAGAAAACCTGATCCTGAAAAGTCGAAGCTATCAAGTCCATGTCTCCACCGACGGATGTATCAACTTTACGTTCTTTCTTGGAAATGGTTAGTCATTATGGAATTTTTCTTCCAGATCTGCATCGCCATCGTGCTCCTCTTAATTGCTTATTGAAAAAGGATACTAAATGGTTCTGGTCAACCAAATGCCAGGAAGCATTCCTAAAATTAAAGCAGCTCCTACCATCAAACCTTCTACTTATACACTATGGTCCAGATCTTCCAATTATAGTCGCAGCAGATGTGTCAAACTACGGAATCGGAGCAGTAATTTTACATACCTACCCTGACGGGTCTGAAAAGGAAATCGCTCACGCTACAAGATCGCGGACTATGACTGAAAAGAACTACAGTCAGATAGTGAAAGAAGCCCTCTCCATTACATTCACTGTAAAAAAGTTCCACAAGATGCTGTTTGGCAGACATTTCACCTTACTAACAGATCATAAACCTCTACTGACAGTTTTTGAATCCAAAAAGGTATCCCTGTATATATCCTGTATATAACCATCTACAGAGATGGACATCTACACTGTTGGGCTATGATTTCAAGATAAAGTATCAACCGACAACGAATTTGGACAGGCAGATGCCCTCTCAAGGTGAATTGGTTCGCATGCAAAACAAGAAGAGGAGGTGCTTGTAGCTGCCATAGATGTTGAGGCTGAGGTTCACAAAGTATTGGCAGACGCAGTTTCCGGACTCCCGGTCACATTCGAAGCCATTAAGGAGGCTAGCAAGAACGATAGTGCATTAAAGATTGTTCGCCATTGCATACTCAATAAGTCGCCTTCATCTAGACTACACGGAGAACTCTTACAATATTTTCGTCGACGAGAGTCATTAACAGTTGTCGATTCATGTATCATGTTTGGCCATCGTATCGTTATCCTTAGAAATCTTCGACACCAAGTCATTAGGCAGTTCCACAGCGGGCACCCGGGGATAAGTAAAATGAAATTACTAGCTCGTAGCTATGCATGCTGGCCGTCAATGGACCATGGTATAGAACAAAAATGTCTCAGTTGTTGGTCCTGTCTAGAGGCTGCGAAGAATCCAACGAAAGCTGAACCACAACCATAGATAAAACCGGACGGGCCTTGGCAAAGAATACACGCTGATTTCGCCGGACCAATGCAAGGCAGAAATTACTTCGTTGTTGTCGATGCTTTCACTAAATGGCCAGAAGTATATGACATGCCGAAAACGAAATCAGAGAGTACAATAATAAGATTGTCAGGACTGTTTGCTTGTTTGGGGGTTCCAAAGATCTTAGTGACCGACGACGGCACTCAGTTTATGTCATTCGCTCTCAAACGCTTCTGTGGCGAAAATGGCATATTGCATCTACAATCTTCTCTGTACCATCCTCAGTCAAATAAACAAGCAGAAAGATTCGTGGATACGATAAAAAGAGCTGTGGTCAGAGGGGGAGGTGAGGGTATCCCAGAACAGGTGATCAGCAAGTACCTAATGTCTCACAGAGTTACCCCTAATCCGGCAGTACCAGAAGGAAAGTCACCAGCTGAGTGTATGTTCGGAAGGGAATTCCGGACAGTCTTTAACAGTATGTTGCCACCCAGAAAGAGAAGTAAACGCACGAATGAGTATCGTACGGTCACTCGTAGCTTCCAGGTGGGTGAAAAGGTACTTGTCAATTTGTATCAAGGTAATAGGAAGTGGGAACCAGGTGTCATAGAATGTCGGATAGGAAATGTACTGTACCTAGTCCAAAAAGGTGTGGAAAAATGTATAAGACACATAAATCAAATGCAAAGAGACGGCAGTACAGTGGTCCCAGAAAGCCGACTCCCATTCCAATCGCTCGTGGATTCATCTCAGAAGAGCCTTCAGGAGCACAAACATAGAAGAGATAAACGACGCAAGGGCAAAGCAGTACAACCCTCGAGAGTGATGGACCGCAAGAGGAATGCGACAACCAAGTTTCAGGTGGATCCGAGAAAAAAGTCTTACACAGCAGACTTTAAAAAGGGAGGTGCGACGACGGACCACGGGTGAACTCGAGGAAGCTGTAAGAGGCTCAGAAGGAGCCGAAGATATTCCATCCAATCACCTCTCTCTCTCTCTCTTTCACTGTGGTTAACGAGGGCTGGGACGCATCAGAATAACTAACTTATTGATTACTACACTGGTTGAAATTATGAGTCAATTGAAGCTAGACCACCATGGAAAACCTGAAAGCACTGGACGGCCGTTTCGTCTTATTGTGAGACTCCTCAACGGTGCTCATCCACGATCCTGACTTGCGATATTCGAACCCAGGACCTATCCGTCTCGCGCCAGGCGCTTAATTGATTATTGGTCACAAAGCATTTGTTCCATTCATAGACTAGATGAACTTGTAATCATTTCAAATATAACAGAATGATAAGATCTGAAAAGAGAATCTATCAAAAACAAGCGGATTAATCATTTATATTTCATTGTTTTACATTCAATGTATTCAATATAGTATAAAGAATTTTTTTAAAAGCATTTCTAAAATCCGGTGCAAATATTGTATATATAATTGGATTTAATAATGAATTTAAATAACCTAACCATAAAAATATACTACTTATAAAATGATTTAAATTACATTGTGGTAAACAAAATGGTATAATAAGTGTATGTAAAAAAAATGGTAACCAACATAATAGAAAACAACCAGTTATAATAGATAATGTTCTAATGGCTTTATTTTCACGATGACATTCTATACGTTCACGATATAATTCAATATTATTCATATTGATCAATTTAGATGAATATAATATACTATTATTAGTAGTATTACTAGTACTATGACTATTATTAGTAGTATTAGTAGTAGTACTAGTCGTTGTCGTCGTCGTCGTCGTCGTAGTAGTAGTAGTAGTAGTAGTAGAGAGTAGTAGTAGTAGTAGTAGTAGTAGTAGTAGTAGTAGTAGTAGTATGAATAGGAGTAGAAGTTTGTATATGAATAGGATCAATTTGATTAGGATCCATTATTGTAACATGATCATTTATAGTTTCATAATGATCATAACAAAATGGTGGTTTTATTTGATCTAATGATTGTTTATAAGGTATAATATTATATGAATAGATACTTATTAAACTATCAGTGGATGATAAATACGGTGATATTGGATATAATTTTGTTTCTATGCTACCACGATTAGAATTATCATTTACATGATGTAATTTGATTGGATCAATAAAATTACATAATGGTTGATGTGAATCTATCAAATGATCTGTGATTTCATTATCGAAATCAAATAGTAGAATAGGACTTGTAATAGATTGTAATGGTGATTGTATTCTCTTTGAATTTTGATTGGATTGTATGTATTTAATTTGATTATTGATTTTATTGAAATGATCATTCATTTCAACAATTGATTCGTTTACCATTTCATTATCACCTATCTGTTTGATTTCAATAACTTCGTCATCATCAGTGTTGATTATATCAGATGTGGATAGATTATGAGTAAGACAATAATCATTATTATTATTATTATCATTCATTGAAAAAGATATACTACTATTAGATACTACTATTGGTTTTAAGTAATCATTATGATCTATAATATGATCTGGATCAAAATATGGATAATCTACTTGATTCAATTCTTCATTATTTAGACATTCATTGAAGATCTAATTATATTCTGTTGATTGTCATATTTCTCACAATATTCAATTGGATCTGAACTCAAATATGGTGATGATGTTTCTTTCTCTAAACTAGTTGATATCATATCTAAATATTCATTACTTATAGATAATGGATTCATTTCTATCATCATCATTTTAAATGGACAATTAAACAAATGATTATTTATACATATTGAAGATCTTTTAAAGAAATGCTTATGTTTAGTTCTATGATCTTGATCTTGATCATGATCATTATGTTCAATATTTTTTTTGTTATGTAAATCAATCGATGATTCTCTTGTGATTGAAGATAAACCACGTAATGATTTTTTCCTGATACGTTTCTTAGCAACTTGATAAATTTTCACATAGATACCAATTAAAAAGATCATTGGTAAATAGAATGCAATCACTGTAGAGAATATTGTAAATAGATAATCTTTATTAATATTACATTCATTATATAGAAAATGATCATTTCTTGTTAGATGAAATCGTGTTGGTAATGAAATCATTAATGATAATAACCATATTATTATAAGCATTATATAAATTGGTTTCTTTTTTTGTTCTCTTATATAATTAATACGGGTTATTGCTAAATAACGATCAATTGCTATAGCAACTAAATGTAAAATAGATGCAGTACAACATAATACATCCATTATTATCCATATATCACATAATGGTATACCTATTTTTAATGAGAGAAAAAACATATTAGAATGATTATGTTAAAAAGGGATACAATTCATCATTTGATTAGATCTCTCTCCCCCACCCCCCACCCCCGATTAAAAACGAATAGTGAGGATTATTCAATATATTTAGTTATAATTACTAGAATATACTGTAAGCAACTATGAGTTGATAGGTCCTGGGTTCGAATCTCGCTGCGGGGGGGGGGGGATCGTGGATGCGCAATGCTGAGGAGTTCCATACTAGGACGAAACGGCCGTCCAATGCTTTCAGGTTTTCCATGATGGTCTAGCTTCAATTGATACATGATCTCAACCATTGAAACAAACAAAATTGTTTAAAATCAATTATCAGAAAGGGATTTTGTGGAGAATGTAGTAATCTAATGATTGAATTCATGAGTCAATTAAAACTAGATCATTATAAAAAACATGGAAGCACTGGATGGCCGTTTCGTCCTAGGATGAGACTATTTAACAATGCTCATCTACGATCCCAGTTGTGAGATCCGAAACCAGAATTTACAGTCTCGCACGCGAATGATAAACTTCTAGATGACTGAGCCGGTATTCAACGGCCGTGGTACAATTACGTGGATTGGTTGAAGTTAGACATTACATGGTTGGACGCCAGTCAGCTCAGTGGTCTAGACGTTAAGCACTGGCGTGCGAGACTGATAATTCCTGGGTTCGAATTCCGCGAGGTGGGGTCGTGGATGCGCACTGCCAAGGAAGAGTCCTATACTAGGACGAAAAAATCGTCCAGTGGCTTCCAAGTTTTTCATGTGGGTCTAACTTTAATTGACTCATGAATTCAACTATGAAATAAATTAGGTTGAAAAATAAAAAATAGAAAATGGAAATTTATTAGAATTAAGTGATTTATTAACGTGAATACGCTTCGAACACTCCGATCCCATATTTACTTATCAAGAATTTAAAAGTAATGTCTAAATCAAACCGGGATGGATGGAACAGTCGTCCAGTGCTTCTAGGTTTTCAATGGTTGTCTAACATCAATCGGTTCATGATCTCAATAAAAAATCAGACTTATTAGAAAATAAAAATGAAAACAAAATGAATCACATCGCTCTAGAAAACAAATCAATTTTAGCAAGACAAGTTCATTGTAAGTACACACAAGGTGTTTGAGTTGAATTTCCGTGTATCAATGGCTTTGACAAACTTCACTGATCAACTTTTTCAAAGCTAAAAAGTGAGTTAAGATGAATCAAAATGACCTATTTTAACTGTGTTTGTCATTTAAAAAAAAAATCAATGGTTAAATCCTTTTAAATCATTTGACTTATTTTGTAGCCGTTATAATACATGCTCAACTACTATAACTTAAAAATTGCGATTACTCCTCCCTGAACAAGTGTGACCATACACATATATAAACCAGTAGATAGTGCGACGTGACATAGTCGATCATATCCAGTTTATGCTTACGGTTAAGTATGGATATTAGTTTTCTTTCCCAATAACAATGAGTTTCGATAGTCACAATTGATTGATCACTGGGTGGCGACCAGTATCATGTGTGTCAAGTCCTTATTTAGTGCAGATCGAATGCTATCGATCAAGTTGCAATGTGGCCACTAGTCTAGGTGACTCGACAATGCGGGCACTATATATTGAGACTAGATGGTGGTTGGAGGTAGTCGACAGGAAATCCTGAACCCGGGTTTCGTGCTATTTGGCACTTGTCAACAAGGTTTACCTGTAATCTCGATCTGCACTAAATAAGGACTTGACAAACATGACATTGATCACCACCCAATGATCAATCAATTGTGATTACATATCAGTCCTAAAGGAGGTCGGTTGCGGCCCGGATAACCTAGTGGTAACGTCTCTGACTGTGAAGCTGGGTGACACGGGATCGAATCCATCACGGAGTACCAGTTCCTTCAAGATTACAGGTACATAGTGGTGACGACTGCCAAGTAGCACGAAACCCGGATCCAGGGTTTCCTATCGACTACCTCCAACCACCATCTAATCGAGTTTCGATAGTGTCTAGCAGTGGAATCCAGGACGCGGATTTCGTCCTATTCCGGATTCATCAGCCGGATGTGCATAAATCCTAGAGTTAATGTTTACATATGTCAACAAGAGATTAATTAATTTCAGTCCTAGACAATAATGGGAAGATACAAGTAAACAATATCAAGTGAATTTAACAATGAGTTTGGTTGTAGTGAATCATTGTGTTTTACTCAAAAATACGCCAATGTTTAAATATTTATATAGTCAACATAACCTTTGAAAGTGTATAGGTTGGAAACTACTCCCCCTACTGAAAATGGGAAATTTCATCTAAGAAACTATATTGTGTTTGATCATCTCTGAATGATACGTCCGAATCCTTATTACTTATAGTTGTAAAACAACGAACCATTACAATTGTCATAATGCAAAGTAAGAACATCGAAACTGGTACACTATGAACATTGATTAACTCCTAAAACATAATGACCACCCTAATTGAAAAATACACTCATTTACATATATTGATTATATATCCATTTTGATTATGAATAAGGATGAAATTATATATATATGAGAAATACCCAGAGTTATAACAAATCACATGGTGTCTGATCATCTTATGCACACTTCTTGTTAATTTAATACATGAATATCATATCATCGATAAACATCATTCATACTCAGATAAATCATTTTATTGATTGATTGATTTATTTTAACACATAGATACTGGTACAAGGGGCCGTCACATAATTCACATTTGATTTGTGTGAGGGCCGTGATACTGCCCCGGGTGTCCAAACTGAAGCAGGTGGTTTTCTTAAGAGGCCACACTCGGAGTTTTCAACCTGAAGGTCTTATCAACAAGGCAGTGGAGAATCGCAAGGAGATGCAGTTCTATGGTAGCCGTTCACCAACAATAGATTCATACACCATTTATTCCCTCAGGATCATTGAGCTCATGTGCACCACTGGTTTGGAATCAGGGTATTTTCAACGCCTCTAGGGGAATCTTCCATATCCACCAACCGGATTAAAGCTCCGAACATTCACTTTTCGTCCTCTCTATTTCGTGAACAACACCCCCGTCACGAGAAGGCAATGAGCAGAACTTCCCTGGCATAGGCTGTATTCGCGTGGCCATATGAGAGCATTTCGAGAGGGAGAGCGGACTCTCCCCACTCTTGGCCGTACCAATTCATTTGGAGGCTTTACTTGTATCTTCCCATTGTTATTTAGGACTGCAATAGATCAGTCTGTTATTGACATAATAATGCATACTGTGAATATTGCATCGATATTGCCTTAATTCACAAGCACTATAAGCAAAGATGGATAATGGCTAACAGTAAAATCCAGGATGCGCAACACTTCGTCCTATTTGGGACTCGTCAGTTGGATGTATCTGCATCTCAGAGTTAATGTTCACTCAGGAATTCGAACTCAGTACCATTCACTTCAAACGTCATCGTATCATCCATTTAGCTACTGAGTCCTGATAGCCACTTGCTTGTGCAATGGGGTGAAGTTTAAATTCACTTGGTATTGTTTACTTGAATCTTCCCATTGATATCGAGAACTGTAACTGACCATTCACTTATTGGCATATGTGCATACTGTATGAATTACATTAATATTGCCTTAATTCACAAGCATTATAATCAAAAATGAATACTGGCTAGTAGTGGAATTCAGAACACACGTTTCGTCCAACTGATGAGTTTCAAATAGGACGAAACGCGAATCCTAAATTCCACTGCTACCCACTATCCATCATTGCTTATAATGTTGTAAATACATTCCAAATATTAAAGATATATATTGAAATTAATCGATTTGACTCTGTAAATTTGCCAATCTTTTTTTTTTAATTTTTCAATGTATGATTAAGATTGAAAAGGAAACAGTTGTCTAAATAACTTACTGACCCTATTATATATTGTAAACACTTTAGTTTATCGTATTTAAAAGTATATGTAGTTAAATTTGTTATACTAAGTACAAATTATATAAACTGTTTATTAGTTAGAAGCTGTACCCAGTGGAGTACAACCAGGTCTGTTGTGAGATAGTAATTCACTGATGACAATGGTGGAGGTGTCGCCCAATTTCGTGGATTATTTGAAGTTAGACATTAACATTGCTGGATGGTGGCCAACTCAGTGGAATAGAGACTAAACATTCTCATGCAAGATTGATAGGTCTTGGGTTGTAATCTCGCCTGGCGGGATTGTGGACGCGCACTGTTGAGGAGTCCCACAATAGAACGAAACGTCTGTTTAGTGCTTCAAGGTTTTCCATGGTAGTCTTGCTTCAATTGATTCATGATATGAACTATTGAAATTATAATATCTACAGAAACCTCTCCTGGTATTAATCAATATATGCTCACTAGTGACTGGCTTTAATTAGAATTTCCTGGAGTTGTAGTGAGAAGCAGTGGCTAGTGTAGTTCAACCAGGTCGGTTGTGAGGAAGTAACTCACTGAAGACATTGGTGGACGATGATGTAGTTTCGTGGACTAATTGAAGTTAGACATTAACACAATTCAATGCCGGCCAGCTTAGTGGTTTAGAGGTGCAGTGTTCACGCGTGAGATCGAGGGTTCTGGGTTCGAATCTCTTGAGACTGGGTCATGAATACGCACTAATGAGGAGTCCCATACTGGGACGAAACGGTTGCCCACTGCTACCAGGTTTTCCATGTTAGTCTAGCTTTAATTGACTCATGAATCCACCTTTTTCAAATGAAATCTTTCTTGAAATCCGTGTTCTGAATCAGTCATCCATAAATAAGAAAGTTTTTTCCTAAAAATGAACATTAGTTCACAACAAACATTGATTTCAAAGAGACTAAATCATACCGTTCAAATGTTATTTCTTTTGTATCATATTCTATTTAATGAATGTTTCGTTGATTAGCTTAAAACATTATATTTGCATATTAAAAGTTCGGAATCTTCTAATCTTTCTGTTTGGATAAGTATTTTAGTTCTTCTTAGTATTTACTAAATAATCTTTGAGTTA